CCCCGCAGAGTAGTTTCTCTTCACTCTGAATCTGGGGGCTAGATAAATTAATGCACAGAACACTAATTTCAAATTCTGTGTGCTTTTGTCTAATATAGCTATCTACTAAAAATGCACTGGAGAAGGCATTCTCTATATGGTCTTCTGTATGGAGAACTAGTGCAGGAAAATCACCCCAGAGGGAGACGACAATTGCAATACAAGGATATCTGCAAGTGGGACCTGAATGCCTTAGGAATGGACCTCAACAGATGGGAAACCTTGACGTCTGAGAATTCAGCCTGAAGGCAGGCGGCGCAGCATGGCCTCTCCCAATTTGAAGAGACACTTGTCCAGCAGGCCGAGGCAAAGAGGCAGTCACGAAAGCAGCAAAATCAGGCAGCTGGATGGGGTACAAATTGTATTTGTCTTCAGTGTGGAAGGGATTGTCAATCTCGCATTGGCCTTCTCAGCCACACTAGATGCTGTTCCAAGTCCTCTGTTCAGAACATGTTACCATAGTCTCTCGAGACTGAAGGATGCCTAATCATATGGGAACAAGCAGAGATGGGAAACATACTTTTTTCTGGAACACAGATCCCAGTCACCATGCCAACTGAAGTACCATGGGAGCTGGAGTTCCAAAGTTACTTTCCCCACATCTTGACCACACTATATACCTGTACTTCCCAATCTTTGATATTGTAGGTGGCTACTCCAAGGGAGGCCTGGAAGTCCTCAAGCAAAAAACAGGGCCTTCTCTGTAGTATTCACCTCATTTTGGAACTCCCTCATGATGGAGGTGCAACTGCCGCCCCCACCCCCGCCCCCCATTTTCCAGGCTTCATAAAGCAAATAAAAACCTGGCTCTTTATCCAGGCCTTTGAAAACCTCACTCCATCTTAATTTAAATTTTGAGGTTACGTTGTGGCAACCCGGCGCGATGGTCAATTGCCCATTGTTGGATTCAGGTTTATTTTTTTAGCTTTGCCATCTTGAGATCTAGACAGGTTAACTGCAATGTACAGTTCAGCCCTGTGACAGAGGAACTATTACCATTAGTATGAGATCTTTAAAACAAAAAAGCAGGAATCCTAGATCGCCCAATCAATTATATCAAGAAACAATAAAGGGCTGTGTTTTCTATTTGAAGTACCCTGAATATGCATCACAAAACATACATAAAATTGACACCAACACATTAATGGACTATGACTGCTTCCAATACTCTTAGGGTGACTGACTCTCACACATCAGCAACTGCTGCTATAGAAACAGCTTTGTTGGGAAAGCGAAGTCGGGCAGGTCAAGAAAACTCCTCCAATTACATAGAAAGCAGGAAAACACTGCAGCAGGAAGGTTACTTTATACATCAGGAGGTGGTATTTCACTATAAAATTACAGTTGTTCAACAAATCACATAAGCCCTTATAGACTAAGGAAAACACACAACACATCAATAACTTTAATAAGAAAGCTACTATCCTGGATGTCTTCTCTAAAACAGGAGAATTAAATTACTTCTTTTGCCATCAACTCCTGCTTCAGCATTCAACATGTTCCACATTTTATATTTTTTTGACATGTTGATTTGAATGTTACAACAAAGTCAAAATACACTGGATGTAGGGAAAATGTAAACAGCCTCTGGCAGCCTGCAAGGCTGGTATTCACTAAAAAATGCAGAGGGACTATTTCTAGTACTCACAACATGTCTGGCATTTAAAGCAGCATGTAAGAAAGAACAAACATTTGAGAAACTGTAGAGCTGATCAAAAATTATTCACATACACAATTTCATTCTAAACTGACTTTTGGGACTATAAATTAAAATATGCAATATTTCCTTCCTTATCAATCCTAACTTTTACTTTAAATGCACAAACTGGATTGCATATAAGGTAACAGATACTACTCCAGTGTTTGGGAGTTTTGTGATTTTTTTTTAGTAATTTACGTCTTGCCATTTCATTTCAAAATAAATCCAAAACAGGTGAGAGTATAAAATCGATAACACTTTTTACAGTTCTTTATAACATTTATATACTACCTCTTTGCTCCTCTAACAGCCTCCAAAGCTGTTTGCAATAATAAAATCCATTATCTTAAAATAACAATAATAAAGCCTCCTAAGAGCAAAGAAAATAAACATTGCTGCCAATGTTAATGCTTAAGTTAAAAAAAGCTGAAACCAATAAAAGTTTGGTTATGATGTGAAATTCTGCATGCAGAGTGCTAAAATAATTATGGGGTTGTAGAAAAAACAGCCCTGAAAATATACACTGAATTTGTAAAGTGTGTTTTGAACAGCTGTTCTTTAAAAGTCACTGCAAAACAATCAGCCAAATTCAGCCAAGTCTGCACAGTGGGGTCTTGACTTAAGAACGACTTGCTTCAGCCAAGTCTGTATACACGATATATTAACATGAAAAAGAATATTTTTCATGCTTGACAGTTGAATATGTTTACAATCCAGTATGAAAGTAAACAAAGGAAAGGATGGAAAGCATTTTGAATTAATAGGTTTATAATTGGTTTGATTTGCAGGTATTGCTTACAGATCCTATGATTTGCTCTACCTTAATTTTACAACTCCTTTAATTTACACCCGCTGGCTGAATAACTGTTAGCCAAAATAATACGGCGTATTCTCATGGTGGCAGTTTGCCAGATTCTAATTTACAGGAATCATATTTATAGGAGATGTAAAAGCAATAGAAATGTCCATTATAAATTTTCTGACTGTGTATTTAGTCTCTGTAACTTACATTTTAGGAAAATGTTCACATGTAAGACTCTCTGACGTGACATGGTAAAATAATGTATAGACTTCATTCTTAAAACATCAAACATTGAATGCAAAAATTAAAAAACAAATTACCTAAGGTAACAGGAGCATAAAATGCAAACACAGTCAAATTGCATTTAACAAAAAGGTGCAGCAGTGAAGTAAGAGTACTTCGATTCGATACTGACAATATCAGGAAATATTTAGCCATACCAACCCAATGCTCAAGGTTACCCTGTTGAATCCCTGCCCACCCATTCAATGCACTGAGACACTAGCCTCAGGATAACATCCTCCATCAGACAGCAAGTTAATCTAGAGGAGCCAGGACAGGCTATGTGGCCACAGTGGCCTCTGAAACAGAACAGGAGACACTGTCCAGGAAAAAGAGATGGGCGACTGACATCTCTGCTCACCCTTTTCTCCTGATATCTCTTGTCTGAGGCAGCTGCTCCAATGTGCCTTATTGGGATGGCCAGCCTTGAGTTGTGCTACTGGCCCAAATTCCATAGAAGTGCATGAGGAACATCTCAAAGAATATACCTGATGTCTAGAATGACCAGACTGGGTTCAGTTCTACAACATCTTGGTTAAAATAACCCAACAAATCTTCTCAAAGGGCCAGACAGACTGCTATTATTGCTTTGATTTCAAGCTGCAGTTTCGTGATGCAGCTTTAAAAACCAAGGGAGAAAAAAAGTGGTGCACCATTCCTAACCCCAAGGATTCCTCTTCTGGTTAAATGAACAGGATCAACCCACCAGAGCTCTCAGCAGTTTCATTTTTGACTACAACTCCCAGAATCTCCTACCTAGTGGATGGTTCTGAGCCCTGTAAGCAAACAAAAACCCAAACCATCTCCAACCTCTGCAACTGACATGGTAATTCTGTAACTGGAACTCCAAATATCTCTCTGTTTTACTTTTTTTAAAAGGTATGGGTGGTTGAATGGCATTATGATGCAGGGGTGGAGATACCTCTCCACTCTGAGGGGATTCCTCAAGTTAAGTGATCCACATATCTTTTAACACTGCGGGTCAAAATACAAAGGCTTCAGACATACAATATGTGGCTGATAGTAAGAGGGGAGGATGGTGGGAAGGTATAAGAGCTTTCTGCCATCACTGTTCCAGCCCAAACTGCGGGTTTTGGTAAAGTTAGAAAAAAACACTGAGAAAGCCAGTCACGCCATGTGTAATTTAACCTTCAGTTACTCCCTTCAATGCATAATTCAACTTTCAATTGCAACTGTTGCACACACCAAGGAGACAGTATTGAAAGCATACTTCAAATGTTCAAAAGAAATTCACTTTGAAACTGTATAAAGATGCTACTTTTTAGAAATCATTCTTTAAAACAAAACAAAGGAAAGAGGAAGAATACAGTGAGCCAAGATGTCTAACCACAGAAAGGCAAATAAATAAAAAAGGAAAGAGTAGGAAAAGACAAATCAGAAGCTTCCCCCCCCCCTCCTCATTTCCTTTCTGGCTTCTTAGCCACCAGAAAAAGGTTACACCCTCTTCACAGCAGAAATTAACAGTGCAGGAAAACTTGGCTAAAAGCACGGAAAATGAAAAAAGTCTGACGTGGACATCACATGGTGAGGAAGAGTTCATGCTGTTCCCAATTCCACCTCTAGTTAAACAGCTGGATGGATTTTGTCAAGACAGAATCCAGCATTTTAGCAACACTCAAGCAGAGCAAAAGTTACACACCCCACCCAGAATTCGAAAATGTCATTAAAAAAAATTACTCCCCGTGTCTTCCAGCCAACCAGTCAATAGCCATGCTGGTTAGAGGGCTCTGTAGTCCTAAAAAGGCAAAAATTCCAAGTTCTAAACCCAAGTTGTGCATCCTAGTTTCCAACCCATCTTTAAAAAGATGCAAGATCACAAAGCATCCTGAGCAAGTATCCCAAATGGTAAAGTTTGGACCGCAAGCACCAGTTTGAAAGCAATACCGTCATGGGAGTTTCTTTGCAATCAACCACTTGCTGCCTGTTTGTCTCTCAACTTAGTTCAGGTCACAACAACTTTATAAGGGTGGACTGAATGGCAAAGGCCATGCTCAGCCCTTCTGAAATAAAGATAACAGTGTGCACATATCTGTAAATGGCATTCATGTTTTTTAAAAAAAGGCATTCATGTTAAAACTGGAGATCAGCTTTCTCTCTCTCTACCCTTGACTTCATTTTTAAAAAGTTAAAGTAAACAAGCAGCAAGGAAAGACTTACCATCGCTATGGCTTCACGGATGGATCAGACGAGAAAGAAAACCTGAAAAAGAAAAACAAGAGTACCGGGTCGGCGTCCCGCAGAATTCAAAGGAGGGCCCGTAAAGGAGTTACGGACAAGCTGCGGGGTTCCCGAAAGGGGCCCCCCGAAACAGAGCGAGCCACCCCCACACTCCGGGCTTAGGATCTCCTCGCCGAGAGCCAACGCCCTAAACCAGGCAAGGCGCCCCAGTTTCGCAGCCACGCGCGCCAACGGCGTACGGAAATGCCAGGAGAAAAGTATCCTCCTCGGGGCAACGACTCCTTGATGCAGCCAAGGGATTCTGGTGGGGAGCCTCGCACAAAGGCCTTCGCCTCTCTAGAAGCGCGGCTCCTTTCCCGTCCCGCACAGGCCGCCCTCGAGCTCTAAACCCACCGGGATGGGACGGCTCGCCTTCCCACCGTGACACTCACCCGAACCGGGAAGCAAGGCAAACAAGCCGCGGCACCCGAGCCGAAGAGAGGGGCTCCCGCGAAGCAGGCGGCAGAGGCGACGCGGTTTGCAAAGTCGGCTTTCCTGCCACGCCCTGGGCGCCGTCTCTCCCTCCGGGCCGAGACTCAGCCCGGGTTTTCCTGGCCTTTGGCCACACCCACGGAGTTATTTACTACGTTACTGGCGGACGGGGCTGGAGGAGGTTTCTCTGGAGTTCGCTGAACAGTCATTCCCTCCGGTTTCCCTCTCCACAGACACACACACACACTAGTGAGTTTCCATGACACTGAGGTCTCCTGAGTTCTCTCCGCTATACAGTACCGCACTAGGTACTATCATGTGAGCAGAGCCATAACTAGAAATGTGGGCTCCTCGAGCAGAAGAATTGTGCTAACACTCAGTAGGTTCAGCTCTAGATTTTTGGTGCCAGGGGCAAAACCCCTTTTGCCCTGTCCTAGTTACAGCACTGTGTGTAACAGGTTTATATCTTGCCCTTCCTTTGGTGAGCTCAAGGCTGCACAGAGGGTGCTTCTCTCAACGATTCTCCCAATAAGTTATATTGTAGGTCCCAGAGGGGATTTTAAGCAGTATCTCCCAAGTCCCCGTCGTGCACTAGACAGTTACAAGACAGTAATTCCCAAGGATTGAATTTCTGTTTTCTAATCAGCATTTAGTGGCACAAATGATTGTAGATTCTGGATTCAAAACATTGGTAGGAGGCCAATAGTCAGGATGTGTGTATACTTTATTGTGGTGTTGTTGTTTAGTCGTGTCTCTTCGTGACCCCATGGACGAGAGCATGCCAGGCCCTCCTGTCTTCCACTGCCTCCCAGAGTTGGGTCAAATTCATGTTGGTAGCTTTGGTGACACAGTCCAACCATCTCGTCCTCTGTTGTCCCCTTCTCCTCTTGCCTTCACGCCCACTGTGTAGTAGGCACTTAATATTTCAATCATGCCCACACCTGCCAGTCTATGCTTTTCAACTGCTTATACATTCCTGATATGTTACAAGCAAAAGGAAGCAAAAGATGGCTTTGCCAACCTTGATTTTTATATTAATATTTCAAGGACCTGCAGTTTTGCATTTGAAATGTTGGGACCATCATGACTACAGAAAGAAAATGGAGTTTGCCTTGACTGCTTCCATGCCAAACCCATTTACGGTGAAATTTGCACCCTTTTGGTATAAAAAGGGGTAGTGTGTTTTAAAGTAAAAATAATAAAATGAGCCAGCTGGCCACCATGGAGGAAAATATTTTTCAAGATAAGATGATAGAGTGCTCTTGGTAAGTAGTGCCCTCCCTGGGGTTGCTCACCATTTTGGATGGAGGATTCTGGGAAATGTAGTATAAAAAACCCAACTTTTCTGACCTAGCCCTGTCATACCTATGCCAGTCAAGGTCCTGGTACCAGGTACGTTTACCAGTGCCTCTATAAACTGTTGTTGTGTGGGCATTCATGGGTGGGGCTGTAGGCCTCTGGACCTTAGCCCCCAAGTCAAGCCAAAACTGCGCCACTTCACAGCTGCATGTCTGGTTGAAACAAATTCATAGGACGTTTGAGGGTGCTTCCAGAGGGAGAGCACTTCCAAGCAAAAGACAGTGGATCCTCCCAGCAAGACTTGATCGTATAACTCATACTCTAATGCTAAATCCACTCAAAGTGGTCCAGATGATCTTGTCTTTAATTTGAAAACCTGCCAATCTTTTCCCATTGTTTCAACTTATTTTCTTGTTTCCACAACCTGTTAATGTCATGACTGTGGAGTCCAACATTGACCTGGAAACAGACCAAAGTCACTCATCGAAGTGAACTGTCACTCAAAGTGAGAAT